GGAGGGGCGGGCCTGGGGAGGAAGGGCGGACCGGGGCGGAGGGGCAGGACCGGGGAGGTGGGTGGAGCTGGGGCTGGGGCTAATGCGGGAGGACTTAGGAGAAGGCACTGTGAGGGGGAAGGTGAAAAGGTAGGAGAGGTGGGTCAAGTTTAAAGGAGAAAAGCGAAGATCAGCGTGAAAACTCAAGACTGATTTGCAATCAAGTCTATTGTAAATGTGCACCAAACATAATGCATTGAGGAAGATGCTATTTTTTAATTTTGTTTTTAAAAAGCAAGACACTTTTTCTAGTATATTCTGAGTGCTTAAGCAGAAGTATCTTTAAATCTTAAAAAATGTTAAAAGAGGCCCTCCCTAGTGGCGCAGCAGGTTAAAACGCAGCACTAAGAAATTAAAGCCACTTCAGCATGAGTTCGATCACCGGCTCAGGAGGTGACCCACATGCCGTGACAGACCTCTCCTGACTCACCTGCTGCTTCCCTCAGCAGTGTATTTGGTCAATCTACCTGTCATGGTCCCCAATCTGTCTCTGGTGAATCCTCTCACCGCTCTGCACCTCTGGCCTGTACCCTAACTCTATATGAATAACTAAACCTTTAAAAAAATTTTTTTAAGATTTTTGCTTGTTTATTCCTTTACATCCAGTCCTTGCATAAGTTACTTGCCTGTGTATTGACATATTCGTAAGCTCAGTACTGTATGTTCTTCATTTAAAGGCTTTCAAAGATCGTTAGACAGATTTTCCTAAAAAAAGGCTCAGATCCGGTGTCCTCTGAGTAGCCCTACAGAAGCTGAAAGAGGGTGGTGGCTTTTATACTGTTTTAGTTACCCTCTAAGTTGTACACAGTGTCAGATGTAGGTCTGTGGAGAGAGCACAGACTTTGCGAGAGACCTCGGAAGTTAAATGATTCAGATATTTGCTTCTAAGAAATCTGCTTACTTCTTCCCCATCCTCTTCCCAACACACCAACTCCCAATACCTCTCTGGTTTCTTTGCCATTCTACTTCAATCGTGTTCAAAAGTATAAAATTAAATTTACTCCTGGAGGAGGAAATGGGAAGGTTTTGGCTTCTTTGCCACAAGATGGCACTGTAAATCAGTTTTCCAATCTGGAAAACTGGCTAAAATCTGCCTCTGTTAATGTTGTTTCTTACAGCCAACTTATTTTCCTCGTTTTTCTCGGTTCTAAATTAACCTTCTCTGACTCCTCCCACTCCTAGTAAGTAGGAATTTTGGTGTCTGAAAGCACAATAGCTCTAGTTCTACCCACGTCCTTTCTACAGCGAGGAAACATGGAAACAACGCCAGTTGCTTATCTCAGCAAATTCTTTGCTGCTGCTTGCAAGAACAAGGGGTTAATTCTTTAGGCTCCTGCCATAAAGTTTTGGTGGGAAGGCAAGCATAGTAGCAAAGTGTATATCGTTTAACTGCAATTTTACTTCTAAGACAAGAACACAAAGATGTATATATAAGAGTAACCATTGTTTAAGACCAGGAAACCTGAAACAACATAAATTTCTAACAATAAAAAATTTATTAAATTATACTATATCCACTGGTTTCACTCATAGCAGGAGTATAATGGATCAGGCGAGAAAATAACAAGAATAATGAACAGCCACATACCAGAGACATTTTGTGGGGGTGGAGTGGGGAATGGGATCAAAAACGGGGTGGGGGGGTGGGAAGGGAAGTGCGCGGGATTATGGTGTTGGCACAGGGGTGACTTGGTGATGGGAAACCCGCGGAGATTACAATTGAGATGGAAAAAAAATGTACAAAATGATGTAAAAATAAACTGTTATAAAAATAAATAAATCTCAAAAAATTATACTATATTCAGATAGTGGATTATTCTGAAACTAATACAAAGGGTAATTAGGATCTGTTCTTATTCCCATGGAAAATACTTTGGATATATTGTTGAGTAAATAAAGCAGTTTACTCCAACCTGGATTAAGAGGTTTATACCCTTCTTCTGTAAGGTTGAATTATGTTTTTGTTCATTTGTTTTAAAGATTTATGTATTTATTTAATGCATACAGAACAGGGATACAGGCCAGAGGGACAGGGGCTGTGAGAGGATTCACCAGAGACAGAATAGGGAGCAGAACAGGCTGACTGCTGAGGGGAGCAGCCGGCAGGTCTGGAGAGGTCTGAGGCGCCTTGTGGATCACCTCCCGGTGGGGATTGAACTCATGCTGAAGTGGCTTTCTCTTTTTAGTGCTGTGCTCTAACTTGCTGCGCCACACACAAATGTATTTTGGTTCTTTGATTCTTTTTATTTAAATATTTTATCGGTTTGTCTTTCAAATAATAAAATCAGTCTTTGCTTCTTGCAATAATCCAATAACACAAGTGTACAAAAACAAGGCCACACTCTCTATCTCACAAATTCATAAGTGCTAACTCTTTCAGAAAGTCAAAGTTAACAATGTCACAAATACCATCTATATTTTTCTCTAAACTCATAAATGGTAAATAAACCTGTTAGTTTACCCCAAAAGTAAAAATATGTATTATTTGCAAGATTCATTTAAAAAAACTGAACAGTAGTATCATGAAACTCTCTCTAGGGATCCGTAATTTCTTGCTAATGATAATATTCTATAATATGCATATGCCCAAATCTATTCAACTGTAAGTCACTCATAAAAGATGAAGAATAGATTTCTAAGAGTAGTTTTATTGGGTCCAAAGTTATGTATCACTTTTTCCTACTATAATAGCTATCCCTGTGCTTCGATTATATGTTTCCATGAAACAAACCGCCCTAAAACTCAATGGCTTAAACCAAAAATCATGTGACAGATATTTTCTGGCAATCTTTCACTAATTTTTTTGATACTTTTAATGGCTTGCTTCAAATACAGAAATTTCTATATAGCCAAATTTGTTAGCCAGTTTCTTTATCATTTTAGGTTTCTCATCTTATTACACAAATTTTCCTTCACTCCCAAAGGTATCCAAATAATCTCAATATTCTTGTTCTGTGATTTAATAAGTGTAATGCATCTGAAATTTACTTTTACATATAACTAACCTGGAAAGACTGGAAAGACTAGCTTTGTATTCTTCGGAGCAAACTTCTTCATGTCAGAATCATTTGTTCAATATGATTTCCTTTTGCACTGATTTGATATGTAAATATTATCATATAAAGTTTGTCATTTAAGTCTATACTTAACGGACTTCTCTTTCATTTAATTATTAGCCTCTTACTCATTTTGTTAAAATTTTGTTGAATTGAGTACAAAAAACTCTGATTTAAAAAGTCAAAATAGCCCCAATATGAAAAAAAATCTGACTCCAAGTTCATTTTTTAAATTATGTTAATTACAAGTCTTATATAACAAAGACTACTGTAAAGCTAGAGTTGTGTATTTCTTCTCCCCTCCCCAGCCCCCACAGAGTCCAGTTTTTTGTTGAATATTTTATTGAACAAAGGAGGCTTAGTCAAAGAGTCCAAAGCCCATGTCACCATCAGGGTCCTCAGACAGTTGCTTCTTGCTTGTGCGTCTGTCTACTTCTCAGTGGGAGCAGCAGTGTTGGGAGTGGCAGTGTTGGTCCTGCTTCCTGCCCAGGCCCACAAGGCTCTACATTATGATGAGAGACACATATTGACATTGGCCAAGACCTTTGCCAACAAGCCAGACCTGAAAGGTTCCATATTCACACTGACTTCTTTAATGAGGGCATTGATTTTATCTTCCCGGTGGCTGTTACCTCGTCCTTACACAAGATGAGGCCTGAGTAATGCAAGTGACCTGAGCTTGAGGGTCATGATGTGGGTGGGTGCTGGGCAGGTGCTGCCTGGTGTGTGTTAGTTGTCAGATGAAATGTGAGCTGCACCCCAATTTGGCCTTAGTTTTCTCTGAAGGGCTTCTTATCCATTGGAAAAAAATGACAATTCTTTAAATCTTTACTGATAGTAGAAATAAATATGGTGAGTGAAAAGGAACTAGTTATATTACCAATATTTTCTTCTACTAGCTATTTTTTCAGAAATACATTCTCTCATTCATTCACAATGAATTGAGCACTACCCTAGATGACGGGGGTAGACATAATGTAAGACATGAGTGTTGTTATAGGTTCTTTCAAGAAAGCAGGCAGCAAGGTGAAACAGAAAAAAGTAATTGTTGGTTTTAAACTTAAACTTCAGATTTTCCCTTTGTGAATTAATTAAAAGGCCACTCACATAAGTAGGTGTAGGTGTCGGTATTTGACCAAAATATCCTGGTATACAAACAACTTTTTGTGAAAAGAGAAAAGAAGGGCCCCTAAAACTTTAAGTATCAGAAAATGCATTCTCTAAAATCCACACATAGCTTGCAGGAATGGAATATCAAAATTCAAGAGAAAAAATTGGTGTCTTTGCATTGAAGCTCCATCCTTCTACTTTCTCAGAGAAGAATTTAAAGTCTACTTTATCTAGCCTTATATAGTTTGAACTAACCATTAGCTATATATAGCTTGAACTTTAACTGTAGCTGCCTGATAAACTTCTGCATGTCAATCTGCTAGACCTAACTTACTATGCAAAGATAAAATGTTTATCTAGTCAGTTCTTCAGTTTCTGACTTTTTCAGTGGGTCATCTGCAAAAGCTCAGAAGACTTAGTTATCTGAAGAGGGATAATCTCTTTCTAGGAAGACTAAAAACAAAACACTGAGGGTTTAATTATGCAGAGACTGAAAGGAACCATGATGTGAGAATGAACTGAGGACATGTTTGTTGAAATAACTCAGTGTATCAATTTCCGGGAAGTCTTGGACAGACCAAGGTTTTGTAGAAAAGCTTACACGAAACTGGAAGGTTTAACAATGCAATAAGGTTTCCAAATCTATTCAAAATAATTTCATATTTTCTCTTAGGGAAAAATGGCAACAGACAAAAAAAAAGTCATTTTCAATTACGTAGAGCTGCTAGAATCAGGAAGAAATTCTAGACAAGAACCATAGCACTAATTTGCTGACAGAACATCTTGATCCCTTTTACTCCCTCAATATATATGAAATATAAGCAACAAAATCAAAGTTATTTTCAAAATATTGCATGCAATAAACAATATTTCAGAAAACCACATTTACTAGTAGACTTGTTACCCACTTATAAGTGGTCTTTGGGATAACGTCCCATATAGGAATTAAACATTACAATAAAAAGACCTAGGATATATTTATAAAAGGATAATAGAAAAATAGATAATACTGATTACTCTTCTGTGATTACTGTCTATTATTCTCAACACCTATGTGCATATTTCTAAAATCAGGTTACATATCTGCAAGAGAGAAGAACACACATAATGCCTGTCAATCTCTTGTGACACATTCCATTCAGTTTAGAAAAGTTGTTTCTTGCTTCTCAACATTTTCTAAAAAAAAACTTATCCATGGTGTCTCATGTGAAATAAAATTGTACTTGGATATTACTATGGTTCCACCAATTCTACCTTGATAAAAGTACAGAAGAGTGACAAGAAGTTTGACAGCAATATGAGAATGCTCATCGTCATCAGATCTGAGACCCTGGACTGTATTATGTGACATCATTCAATAATGCTCTGGAAGAAAAGAGTATTTGGCAGAAATTAATTACATATATATGTATATGTATAGCATTTTAAAGCTGGAGCACATAGAAGATACTTATATATACATTATGCATATTACATAGCCAATAAAGTTACTAGATTGTGAGGCATGGTGTGAACAGTCAGTAAAAAGACCGTACAGCTCAAGGTATGCCTAACATTTATGAGGCACTAAATATATGAAATAGCCAACATTCACTAAGCACTATATATTTACCACGTGGCAAAAGCTGAAACACTCTAGTTCACAGTCTTAAATTTGCCACCTAGTGGTGACAGTTCTCCTCCCACAGGTCCTGCCCGCGGAAGTATGAAACTTTCATCTGCCAGAGTGTTAACTGGCCAGCTATGACTGTGGCCAGGCATTCTCCAGTAGAGTGAGAGTCTGTCATTGGCTTAGATACCTTCCATTTGGGCATCTTTGCTCAAATCTCAACTCTGGTAATTGTTGTGTCACTAACAGGGAATCTAATGTGCCAAAAGAGAAAGGGCATATATGAGCATTGCATAACATAGGGTCTTTCCTTCCAAACTTTATGCTATCCTAAAAGTATTTTACTGTTATTGCTCTTGCTTTGCAAGATTTGATAGTCTTTCTTTCCATGACCTCTGGAATAGTTGTCTGGTAATATACTTGGGCAGCATCAAGTGACTTTCCACATGATACCTATTTTCAACCAATGTATCTGTTTTCAATCAATGGACAATCTTATAGATGCAAACCATTGATACTCACTCCCCGACTGTGCTGGCGCCAAACCCAAAAATTAGGTTTCTCTCAGCATAATTTTATTTTATTAGTGACACAGTGCCCATTGTGTCACTAGACCTTTTATAAAATAATCGATGATGACACAGTAGGAAAAAGTGAAAAAAATTACTTTGTTGTTTCTGCTTTTGAAAAAATTGTAGATTACAGTAGCTTTCTTTAATTCTGAATCTCAGACAAGACCACTTAAAACAATAGAACATCCAAAGTTCTTTTGATTTAATCCAATAAGATCTACTCACCCACCCTGCGCAGTAATCAGAGGGTCATTCAAGTGATTTTTGTTGAATCAAGAAATTTACCAGCTTGCCTTTAAAATAAACTATTTTACCAAACCACAATGATGCTACAGGAACTGAATTGCTAGGCTCAGGAAAGTTCAGTTTGCAGAATTAAACTTCTGAATTATCACCACCAACAAAGAATTGATATGGTCACTGTGGGTTTTTTTCGCTCAAAGAAAACAATTCTCAGCCTGTAATATGCATAATGTATATATAAGTATCTTCTACGTGCTCCAGCTTTAAAATGCTATACATATACATATATATGTAATTAATTTCTGAGATTCTAAGGTAGTTTCTGGTCCATGTTTAAGATAAACATACAAATATTATAAATAGGTGCAAGCTGTATGTCTCGATAGACTCATAAACTCAAACAAAAGATAGAAAACCTGATTATTAACTTTAAACCTGGGCAAGGTTAGCTTATAAAAGCCACTCTGCTTTCAAAATTACTTTTTCCCTAGAATCTACTTTCGCTGTATTTAATGGCCCTTCGACGGTTCCTGACTGCTGAGTTCTGACTCCTCAGCTCCTCTCTACCTACACCTTGCACATTACATTCGGGTAACACCATGTCAATGTAAGTCTTTAATAACCTTCCTTCTCTCTTGCTGGAAATGTCTACCAGGTCCAGCGTGTTCCCCTCGCCTCTCCAGCTCCCGTCCCGCCAACTTCTTTCAGTCTTCAAGCTCCAGAAGTCAACTCTTCTGCAAAGACTTCTTCACACACACTTGTCTGGGTGCCTTTTCCAAGCAGCCATTGGACCACCACTGGAAAATGAGCTCTTGGGCACATGGACCGCTTTTACTGAACTCTGAGACTTGCACCTGTTAAATGTTTGCTAACAGGAAATAAATTCCACTCAGACTGCAGAATCCGCAGATTACACATTCTCCAAAATACTTAATTTCCACGCATTATTTTTTTGGAAACGCGTAAAGGCAAAATTCGGGTTATCAGTTTTTGTATGTATGTTTGGGACCTAAAAGGCGACGACGCATCAGGCGCGGGGACCCTGCTGACTTCCCGACCCGCCAAGCCAGGCGCTGCAATATTTGCTGCCGATTTCAAATTCGAAGTTTTAGGACTGGCGATCGTCCAGAGCCGCTTTCCCCTTTCGTTCGCGGCGAGCACCGCGGTCCCCTCAGCTCTCGGGGAGTGAGAGGTGGCGGTGACGCTGGGGACCGAGCGCGCCAGCGTCTTTCAGAGATTGTTTCCCCCTAGGTGGCCGCCTCCTGTCCTTCCGCGGGGTCACCACAGGGGCACATAGCATAGCGTGAGCGACGTGAGTTAATTGCCGGGAAGGTTGACAGCCGCGCGGGTGCCCAGCACTAGCCGCGTTCCTCCTCAGGACGCCACGTCCCATCCCGCCCACTGCTCCCACTCTGTCCAATAAGCGCTGCCGCTGCTCCGCCTTTGGCCGGAGGAGGCGGTGTTGGGGCGGCCGGACGCTGCACGGCCGTTTACGTCAACGCGGTGACGTCACGCGCAGACGCTGGGGACGTACCTGTCGGACTCGAGAGTCTCGCTGCTTCTCTTCCCCGATCTGTAGGTCGGGGCTGGTCTGGTCCGGAACCCTCAGCTGCTTTCCCTTAGTCCCTGTTCTCCCGCGGCCCGGAACCGGGCTGCGTAGGAGCAGGAGGGTGTGGTGGGTCGAAAGTCGTTATCCTTCATTCCCGACTTGGAGCAGGGGTTCAGTTTCAGTCGTCCAACAGGGAAGTGAGGTTGGAGATTTTTGTTTTTAATTTTGGCTAGAAGCAGGTTGACTCCAGGGCCCTCCAGGGCAAGCGGATTTAACTTAATGCTGCTCCAGTGTTTGAAGGCGGACCAAAAAAGTCACCTGGCAGAATTTCCATAGCGTCTTCAGTAGAAAACACCAGGTATCTCTTAAATCGCGGCAGTTTTCCTTGTGTGTTAGCTTTCTTCAGGTGGAACTCCCGGGTAGCTATTTAGGTTTGAAACAGATGCAGATTCCAAAGGCAGCGCAAAAAACAGCCACCGATTTTGCTATGCCTCTGAGCTGCAAGGTGAGTTGCTGTCATTTTCACAGATTTTGGGTCAACTGTTGATGTCAGGACTCATATTGGTTTGTCTAGGACAGAGGTACCAACATGATGTTAAGCCCACCCTCCTTAGGTGTATTCCCCTGGACAGGCTTTAAGATTTCATCTATTTCTACTGGAACCATCGAAGGACTATTGAATACAGTGGAAGTAGATTCTAGGGAAAAAATAATTTTGAAAGCAGAGTGGGTTTTATACGCTAAACTTGCCCAGGTTTGAAGTTAATAATCAGGTTTTCTATCTTTATTTTGGGTTTATGAGTCTATCAAGACATGTAGCTTGCACTTATATATACTATTTGTATGTTTATCTTAAACTTTTGGGTTTATGAGTCTATCAAGACATGTAGCTTGCACTTATATATACTATTTGTATGTTTATCTTAAACTTGGACCAGAAACTACCTTTGAATCTCAGAAGTTAATTATATCTATGTATAGCACTTTAAGTTGGAGCATGTAGAAGATACTTACATATACATTATGCATATTACAGAATGAGAATTGTTTACTTTGGGCAAAAAAATTCCTGTTTATGCGATTGAATCCACAGTGACCATACCAATTTTTTGTTGCTAATGGTGATTCAGAAGTTTAATTCTGCAAACTGAACTTTCCTGAGCCTAGCAATTCAGTTCCTGCAGCATCATTGTGGTTTGCGTAATTGATTGATCAATCTTTCAGAAATATTTTTTTCATCTAGTAAGAGTTAATTTACATATCTTTTTGAGTCATTAGAAAATGGAATGCTAATGTATATTTCATTTTTCCTCTTAAAGGGTGCAACTGATTATTCTCTTGTTGCATAAAATTACTTAAAAATCCCGTATGTGACCTACAGATATTTTCTCAAGTTGAATATACTTTTATGATCTCTAGTTAATTGGGGCAGCCATTTGGCAGAATCCTTAACAGATTGCATCTTTCTCCTACTCCCTACCTCCAACACTTGTCAGAGGCGTTCTTTGCCCAAAAGACAGGTCAGCTAGTTTTAGGAGGTCAATATGATATCTACCACCTATATCTTTACTTGAAAGTTGTATTTTCAGTCTAACAGAGCTCACTAGGAATTAAACTTGGTTTTGAATATTTACAGTTCAGGGAAAGAGATTTGCTGAGGTTATGGTTTCTTTAGTAAATTGGCTATTTTCCAGATCCTGTTGGCGATAAGCTTTCCATTTCCTGTTGTGAGGTGTTGGGCATAACTTTCAGACCTCTCAGGAAGCCAGATTTGATCTCTGTGGTAGGTCAGATATCAAAGCAGTATCCTGTGGGGTTTGGCTACATCACTGTTTTGTGGAACTTTAAACTAACTTTGTAATTAAACTTGTCAGCATGGATTAAAATTGAAAAATATGGTTTATAAGTATTAATCATTGTTGAGTGAATTCTATGGCTCAGGATCTTTTCTCAGTTGTTTTTGTGGTTTAAACCAATTTTAACCCTAATGTCATGAAAACAAGTACTTCTGTTATACCACTGTACAGATGTGGAAACTGAGGCATGGAGGAACTATTTAATTTGTCCAAGATTTCAGTAAATGACAGAATTGATAGCAGAGCCTGACAGTAAAACTTGAGAGTGCTTCTTCTCAAAGGCTGTACTATATTGCATGTGAGACTAGGCAAAACACTAGACACAATATAGGGTGAGAAATAGAGCATGAGAGGTTCATTTATTTTTCAATTATAAAAATAAGGTAAAATTGCAGAAAGTAGAAAATTGTGTTAAAAAATTTCACCCAGTACTATTCTAAGAAACTTTCCTTATACACATTCATCTCTGCCCGTAGCTATTGTAGCTATGATTCATTTTGAGTCTTAAATGTTTATCAGTTAAGAATGAAATGGAGGATGAATCCATGTGGGGAAACTGTCCATTTGCACTGCTGAAAGACAGAGATATTGCATGATATGCAATATGATCTGCAATTCTGATCAGAACCAAGTTAAATGAATGTATTTCTTTCACTTAATGGAAATAAGTAACAGGTTCTGCCTTTCAAAATTATGAAAATACTTAACTATTCAATGTGTCAGTGTCCCACAGCATTTTTTGTTGGGTTATTTACCTTCGCTTTTATACTCAGTGTGTGTATGTGTGTGTTTGTGTTTGTGTGAGTTTCCTTAATCATCCAGGATTTAACTTTTTTTTTTCTTAAAGATTTATTTATTTATGCATACAGAACTGGGATGCAGGCCAGAGATGTGGAAGGTGAGAGGACTCACCAGAGACAGAATGGGGAGAACAGGCAGATAGACTGAAATACACTGCTGAGGGGAGCAGCTGGCCGGTCAGGAGAGGTCTGCTGTGCCATGTGGGTCACTTCCAGGGGCAGGTATCAAACTGATGCTCCAATGGCTTCGGAGAGCTTCATAATGCTGTGCTTTAACTGGTTGTGCCACCAGGGAGAGCCCTAGTATTTAACTTTAAAGTGACTTTGACAGGTTTTCTGAGTTTAGGAAACTTTTCTTAGTGGAGAGCTACTTCCTTTAGCTGGTAATCCACTTAAAATTATTGTTTTTATTTTTATTTTTTAAAGATTTATTAATTTATGCATACAGAACTGGGGTACAGGTCAGAGGAGTGGTGGGTGAGAAGATTCACCAGACAGAGGGAGGAGCAGAACAGGCAGATCGACAAAGTACACTGATGAGGGGAGCAGCAGGGGGGTCAGGAGAGCTCAGCCGCGCCATGTGGGTCAGCTCCCTGTTGGGGGATTGAACTTGTGCTGCAGTGACTTTGGAGAGCTTCATAATGTGGCTTTAACCCATTGTGCCACCAGGGAGAGCCCTAAAAATATTGTTTTTTTAAGAAAAAAAAAATAAGGCCCTGCAATTTGGATTTGCAGCTTTCTTAATGAACACTAAGGATAAAAATATAAAATAATGTTACTTTTAGAGGAAGTCACTTTCATTATTATCATATCTTGTATACTGACTTGTTTAAATCAGAATAAATTCTTACTGCCTTTGATGCCGCGACCTAAGTTTCTTGATGTTATATGTGGTAGGGGACTGGGGACCATTCCCTGATAGAATAAATTTGAGCAACTGTTCATAACTTTTGCTTAGTTATTAATGTTTACTATTAGTTTTCTCTCGAACCTTTCATATGCTGTACCACTGCAGTTTTAGATGAGGGTATTCGTTATAATCCAAACTTATTTGACCAGAAAAACTTTTCATGGCCTGTGCGCATACTCACATTCAAATGTTTTTGTTGCTTTCTGGATTCTATAACTTGATTTATGCTGGTACATTTGTTTCAAATAACCTTTTCCCCTTCTCTGCCCTGTAAAATCCTCTTTAACTTTTTATTATTTATTTTTTAAAAGATCTATTTTTTTAACTACAAGCATACTGGTGCACAGGCCAGAGTTGTGGGGGGTGAGAGGACCACCAGAGGCAGAGTATGGAGCAAAACAGGCAGATCCACTGAAATATACTGCTGAGGGGAGCAATGGGTGGGTAAGGAGAGATCTGCCACACCATGTGGGTGGTCAAACTTGTGCTCTAATAGTTGGGGACAGCCCCACAGTACTGTGCTTCAACCTATTGCACCACCAGGGAGGACCCTCTTTAACTTTTTAAACTTCCAACTCAAGTGTGTTTCTTTTAAAGAAGGCTTATCAATTACAGCAAGATGCAATCTTTTCTTTGAATTCTTATAATTGTGTGTCTTTTGTGACCTCTGTCAGGTATTACCTTTTATATAGTAAGTTTATAGGAAAAATCACAATATCCTTTGAGAACAGTATATAATTTGTGCTGAAGATTACTGGAAGCTAGAAGGTCAATAAAACATGATGTCATTAATCAGTAATAATTGTGTTTATATTTTTTACAATTTCTAGTACATTAGTAGTAATCCTATAAGCATTATAAATGAATAGTGATTATGTTGAAATTCATTGTCACATTTTTATTTTTGAACAGTGCTTAGCACATAGAGTTCTTAAAATATGAAATGTTCCTTACATAGGAATGTTTAGATGAGTCAGAGTTTCATCTCCCTGCCATCATTGCTTTTAAAACTTTTGTCTTTCTAATTGCTAAAAAGTAGAATTTTTACTTCTTCTTTGACTTAAGAAATGTGCCTACTTTTCTGTTTACCATACCAGCCAGATAGCTGACTTACACATCTTGAAAATTAGCCATGGTCCTCAGCCTTACCCATGCCTTTTTTATTTTGAGAGAAGAAAAATATGTATTTTCAGACTATGTGTCTTTTGGCTACCCATTTTGAGTCTCCCCATTTTTCATCCTCTACTACCCTTATGGTGATGTGTTGCTTAATCAGTTCCTTCACTGTTGTCTGACCTTAAATAGGGCTAAAACCTGGAGGTGTGATCCTACTGTTGAAAGGAACACTCTACTTTAGAGTCCCGTGAACTGTGGGAGACTTGAGTTTTGCTTTTTCCAATAGTTTTGAATCTATAATCTAGTTAGAAACTTAGCAGCTATCTTAGATTTATTTTACAGCATTTCAACTTTTTATTTTATTTTTAAAGATTTATTTGTTTATGCATACAAGAACTTGGGTGTAGGCCAAAGGTGGGGTAGGGGTAAGAGGATTCACCAGAAACAGAATAGGGAACAGATAAGTTAGATCTACTGAAATATACTAGTGAGGGGAGTAGCAGGCAAGACAGGAGAGGTCTTCTGCGCCATGTGGGGTTAGCTCCTTGGCTGGGGGAGTGAACTCATGCCATAGTGGCTGGTGATAGCTTGATCTTGCTGAGACTTTAACCCCTTGTGCCACCAGGGAGGGCCCATTTCCACATTTTATAAGTTACTAAGTCCTCTTAGATATTTCCTTATTGCTATGCTAATTATGTCCTACCTCATATTTAAAATTGTTCAAAGGTCTACATGAATAAGTGTCACCAAACTCCTCTCCTGTCTTTAGACTCTCAGTTTCTTGCCTTTTCATCTATCTTCCAGACTACTACTAGTGTTGGCT